ACAAACAAGAAATGATGGTGGAAAATCCACTGGAAATTATACTTTTCAACGAAATTAAAACGCCAGTGCCAGTAGTATTTAATGAGTGAGTCATTGAGTCGTTCATTCAAACGATTCGTTCAAACGGTTGTATTTGCTTATTGAACTTTTTATAGAACTATTAAACAGTCCTAATGGTGAAAACGTTGTTTGATGTTGACTAACTAACTGCATTTTAAATATAAAAACTTTCCATTTTGAATTTTTACCTCAGGATGCTGAGTTTCTGCGCGTTTTGATTTCTCCTGGAGAGGCTGCGTGAGCCTCGCCTCAGCAATAGATGCATAATATACAGTCTATCATTCAAACGATTCGTTCAAACGGCAGATTCATCAGATGTTTATGCGTGGGCTAATGAAACTTTAATTCATCCGATTCGTTCAAAACACGGAACGAATATTTTAAAATAGAGGAGGCACACTAATTGTAACGTTATTGGTTATTTTTGAATTTTTACCTCAGGATGCTGAGTTTCTGCGCGTTTTGATTTCTCCTGGAGAGGCTGCGTGAGCCTCGCATCAGCAATAGATGCATAATATACAGTCTATGTGCCGGTGTTGTGCCCAACTCTGACCCCCGCCAGATTACTAACCCCCTAGTATTGGTAGGTTTAGGCCGTTAGGTGTGGGGGAGGGGTTAGGATTAGGGGTGGAGTTAGGATTAGGCAATCAGGTAGCGATTTCAACGAGAGGGGGTAATAATTTGGCAGGGGTCGAAAATGGGTACAACACCCATTGCTCAGCCCCGGATGGCCCCAGCCCAATTTAAACCCTGCGTGTAAGAATCATAAACTTTTGTTGGTCGCAGAGCTTATTTTCTGCCATATTTAAGCTGATGGAAAAGTCCTGTTGGGTTTTTGTCGAGAGAACCAGGGTGATGCTAACTTTTGAGTTGGCCTAAAAAAAAATAATTCATCACTACAGTGCTTTATTGATGTTCCTAGAACATCCCATCACATTATCTAATTAATATTCATGAGCTTTCATCATAGTTGAATCTGTCAATTCATGTACTGTATGTACTTGAGTTATATGGTTTTATAGACCAAGTTGTCTTGATAAAATGGTCACTTTTATCTGTTTAACATGATATCTGGTTTCTGAAACTACTGTGAATAGTTTATTCTAGGAGTGCATAGCCAACGGATGGATATTTTTTTAAATCAGCCAGCTGAACATGGGCAAAAAGTGCAGGAGGTCGCGGCTCCCTCTGGTTCCAGCACCTCTAATGTGAATGAGTGAGTGAAGTTGTCTCTGTTCCTTGAGTTTCTTTCCAATTAAACTGCTGTGATAGACGGCTCTGCGGTTACCTCTTTTCAACCAATTCATTTCTCAGGCTACTAAAAACAACAGGCCTGCCAGTGGATGCGGTTTGCAAACTTAACTGGTGAGAGCTGGCTAAATTCACCAGTTCCTAATTTTACACTGTTTCCATAAGTCAGTTGATTATCAAATGATTGAAAGCTGCATGTTCTGCTTTATTTCTGAGGTGATGTCATTAGTTACAACAGCATGTAAAAATACACTACTGTTCAAAAATTTGGGGTTGGTGATATATTTTAATGTTTTTTTTTTAAGAAAAAAGGCTGCATTTATTTGATCAAAAATACAGTAAAACCAGTAATACTGTCAAATATTATTACATTTAAAATAACAAAAATGCTTAATTATTTTTCTACTAACATTTTTTAATATTAGGTATCCGTGTATTATGAACAGAGTTCAGTTATTAATAGCATATTTACAAATGAACATTAACTTAGATTGATAAATGATATAGAAATGGTCCATTGTAAGTTCATGATACTGAATGTATAAAGTAATGCTAAAGAATTTATTTATTTCCAATTGAATGATTCCTTAATTGTTCTAACACTCACTTGTGTTGTGTAACACTTTCTATGAAGCCCATTTTTATAACACATTATAAGAGTATTCTTAAGGCATTATAATGAATGCATAATGCATTATAAAAAACATATAATATGTTGTTTTATCTCATAAATAATCATAACGACAATTATACTACATTATAAAACTTACTTATTTGTGGTTATAACTTCTGAGTATGATTATTTATAACACGCCATAAACACCATGTTAAATCCACTTAATTTATAATGTATTATAAGTCTCATATCTTGACATTATTTATTTAAGATCTGTACAATATCTTACTGATATTACATTAAATATGGTTAAAAGCAAATGTGCCATATTACACATTCAACTGATCAAATATCTGATCTTATGACTGTTTAAGAAAAAATATATTATTGTTTTATTATATTATTGTTTTATTAAAAATATTATTGTTGTTGTTGTCATTGTTGTTATTTATAAGTGGCCTTTGTCTGCTTTAAGTGAAGTAACAAGTTAACAATGGCAAGATCTGAGACTTAAAATACATTATAACTATGGGAAATATAATCCATTGTAAGTTAAATGGGTGCATTGTGTTCATTGTGTATTATAAATCATCATACTAATCATCATAAGTTTTTTTTATAATACATTATGCATTCATTATAATGCCTTAAGAATATACTCTTATAATGTATTTTAAATATGGGCTTCATAGAAAGTGTTACCAACATTTTTACATGTCAGACAGATACCATTTTCCTGTCTATAAGTGGGCGGTCTTACCCAAAAAGCTGTAAATTGAACCAGATTTTGTTCCCATCATCGAAAGTCAGGTTACATGGGACCAAACTGCTACAGGTTCCTTTGCAGCGAGTGAATAACATAATATCTCAATGCTTTTTATATAGTTCTCTAACAGTATACACTCTCATTTATGCAGTATGAATATGTTAAATTATATTTTTTGTAGTAGATTTCCCCAGAAATAGCAGACAGCAGAGATCAGACTGACAGATCCCCATGTGACGTCATTAATCAGACTCAGTCCAGAGGAGTGTTTCACTCTGCCTTTTATTTTGTTTTTTAAAACAAGTTTATACAAAGAACACTTAACAATGCTTCTGTTATAAACAGATGCTTAAAAAGCCATTAAATCAGTTGGACCATGTCCGTATGGTCCTTAGAAATTACAACTAGTGTCGTAGAAACAGTTGGCATTTTCTTTGCTGTTGTGTCGGCATGGTTACTGCTGCCATCAGCATCAGCATCATCATTGCCCTTGTCATCATTAACATCAAATTTGCTCCACCATATGTTGTCATTTCATTGCTTATAGTGAAAATTGGTTTCATAATAATAATCATTATTTATTGAATAAGGTAATTCTCATGCCAACCTAACAAAATACATTACAAATCTCTTCCTGCATGATGGTTACAACAATTGTTTCACTCATGAAACAGTTAATGGGAATCATGGGATTTGTTGTTTTTATTATTAGATGATCTCAGTAGCCAATGCTCTGTTAATCTGTAAAGGAATATTAGAGTCAAAAACCAAACCTTCCTAGACACTGACCTTTGAAACGGTTCATAAATGTCTTTTAAAAACATACAACTTACAGTACACACTTGCACGACTATAAACCGTGGTTTTTCTCAAACAGGTGCATTTCAGCTTGGCTTTTGAATCTCCAGTCTCTTATGTGTTTTCTACAGCTCTGTGTTTCTCCGACTGTCTCTCCCTTTCACTGTCCTGTAAATTGTATTTCTCTGAATTATTCAGCGTCTCCTCAAAGTGCAACCAGACTTAAGGGGGAAAAAAAGCATGGCAGATATGGAAATGGGGCATTAGACAAGCAAAAGAGATGAAGTACATGGAAACGAGAGGATAGGATGACAGATCTCCTCTTTCCACCCACAGCTCTTCATCATCATGTGCTGTATTATCCTCCATTTCTCTCTCTCCCCAGCCTCAGGAGACCCATATTAACTTAGATATCAATGACAGCTAAGACTTACGCCTCCTACCGTCCCAACGAAATAGATAGAGAGAGAGAGAGAGAAATGGAGGAATAAACACAAACGAGACAGTGACAGAGAGAGAAAAGCAAGGAGAGAAAGAGAGAGACTACAGTAATATCGGGTCCACACTGCAAGTGAGTGACGTGACAAAACTAGCTTATAATCAATGAAACTGTCAAAGTGTGCGATGGTGCAGAAGTTGAGGTTTAAAAATCAGTTTCTGCAAGGGATCCTGTAGGCAACGGTATAAAGTATTGAAATATTGTGTGTGCTTCATCACAAAAGTAGTGTTCTGGAAAGTGTTCTAGTGTTCTTTCACTTACATGTTCAAAGTAATAAGTATAAAGTATATTTGAATTAGTCATCATCTCCATTCATACGTCCTATTATTGAGAATGTATCATTTTGTCTGCTTAATTGAACTAAAAAGGCATATCACAGTCAGAGAATCTTAAGAAACAATCAATAAAATCCATTTCAATGCAAAATATACTGTAATTGGCCAAACTATGTTCATTCATTCTGGTGAAGAGATGTCTCATCAGTCACCACAGCATGTGTCTATATTATAACCATTGATGAAGATGAATTTGACTCAGCATGTTCAATCTGCGCAATGCACAGTTCACATTTCAGCAAACTGATTTTAGTTTAGACATATTGAGTCTTATATATTTGGGATATTGAGGACGACTGCGGTTAAATAGGTTGCTTTACACCAAAGTTAACAACAAAGTCTCATTTCATCTATTTCAAAAGCTAAGAAAACATATCTTAAGTACAATTAGACTACTCTTCAAAGGTAAGGTCTCTTTTGCTCACCAAGGATGCATTTATTTGATTAAAAATGCAGTAAAACAGTAATATTGTTAAATATTATTACAATTTAAAATAACTGTTTTATTATACATAAATGTATTTATTTCAAATGTAATTTATTCCTGTGATGGTAAAGCTGAATTTTCAGCATCATTACTCCAGTCTTCAGTGTCACATGATCCTTCAGAAATCATCCTAATTGGTGCTTTGGTGCTCAAGAACATTTTTGTTTGTTTGTTTTTTTGATTAATGTAAATACAGATTTTTTTCTTTCCCTTGAGTATATTTTAAAGTATATTTTGGCTAATGAAGTAAAATGTTCTTACAATACCCATATTAAAGTATACTTTTTCAGTACTACTTACACCCCTCTACAGGCCCTGTGTGTACATTTATGTCAGTTTGAAGACGATAAAGATGAAAGGTGACTGGACGTACACACTGACAGTGCTTTTTTCCTTTTTATTTCTGGGTGGCACAAATGACAACAACTATTGATGCAACAAAGTTAAGGTAACGTACAGGTCAATGTTATGTAAATAAACCATGTAATATGGCAACTACCATTAAGAATGCAGACTCTGACCGCCAACAGTTTAATCACAGTCAGTGTGAACATGCATTGCCTTGAAGAGTCAGAAGAGGAAGCTAGGATGTGGAAAAAAGAGAGAGTGAATGCTGATGACATAGAGCTGTGCATAAAAGGGGGGAAAGGGTACACAGGGCTATTTTATATCTCAGCAAGTGAACAACTGTGTCCTAACCAGGCATGACTTCTGTTATAGCACTGTGTTGGGTAGCCCCGCCCACAGTTAAATCTTACTGGTCCAAAATCCTGCTAGAGCGCAACAGGAAGTACATTTCTATACTGTTTGCTGATTGCTGCTTTTATTACATCATTTGCAATGCTTCTTGGTATGAGAACTTAATCACTTCAAAAGAAAGTATAGCCTCTTTTTCTCCATTTTAAAATTTTAAATAATTTTTAGCTTCATATTAAATGTTGACTGAATGATTTATCTCAGAGCCATTTGGTTCAATTCTTTTTTTTATTTAGTTTTTATTTTACCATTTGGAAATAATATTTCCAGAAACCAGGATGTCACTGCTGTGTTTACATGGCGTTTTGGACAAATAAATTACTTGGAAATGTGTCGCATCACACGTAGTTAGGACACAGGGTAACGTGAGCTGGCTGCATTCAGAAAAGCCTTTGGGAAACTTACACAAAACACTGTTTACAATGTTAAATCCTCAGTTTTAGTGTGTGTGTATTTGTGAAAGGCTGTGAACTAATGCTGCTTTATTTTCACATCATATACATACATTTTTACACAATATTTATATATTTAACTTTTGCTCTTTTAACCCTGATGTATGAATAAACAGGCATATATAATCAGTAAACATCAGTAAACACAAATGTGACAGGAGATATTTCTCAATGCTAGTGTTGCTGTAAAAATCTGGCCTTGTTTAAGTCAACAGACAAGCCTAATTAGTCTTCCTGTCGTTCTCTTTATCAATTATGTAACCAGTGACTTTTAATTAGGATCAACCTGCATTGCTGTAGCTGGCTTTGGATTTCCTTTAATGCTGGTAAGTTCAAACTTAGAGCAGTTGTCTTTTTTTTTGTTTGTTTCTTTAATGAGCTCTCATATGTCCTTAACACGTTTTTGCATATCTTTTCAGGGTTCAAACAAGAAAACCTGTTTTCTCAAGGAGGGAACATCTTTTTTGCTTTGTAATGGACAGTAATACACAAACCAAGAGTGTGTTGTAGCAAAAGCAAAAAATTTCCCTGACTTTTGATTGCAGGACGGAGCATCGCTTTCGCAAACCCTTACATGTATTCTGCTATAGTTTATCCTAGTAAACTTTGTTCACTCTGACACAAGCAACTGTACTCCCTGTCATTGCAGTGGGGAAAACCCTTTCCATGTTCGACACGGGGCAACTCCTGTTAAGAGCACGTACATCTTTAAAAGCCCTTAGTAGAATTCATCCTAATTATACATACACAAAAGGTACAGCTTAGAATAGTGCATAAGATTAGATCGGTCAAACGTACTACCAAACGAATGGAGCCACCAAACAAATGGGAACAATGTGATTCTCCAATATACATATTACATGTCTCTGGACTGGCAACTAACATGCCATTCAAGCATTGGTTATAATATGTCTTTTAAAAATTATTAAATAAAGCATTGGTTTATACATATAGCGCAAGCTTTAAATATGGCAAGACATCATTTTAAGTTAGTAAGGAAGGTGAGAAGGGTGTTAAAATTCGGAAGCACTTCATCTCCGTCAAATGGTTGTCGCCTGCGGCAGGCTCAACTTTGATTCCAGTTACGCTTACGATACAAAAAAGACGAAATTGCAAATAGTACATAAACAGTAAAAAGTACATCATGTATTGCTAAAGATAAAATGCTACCCAGTGGCATTCACATCACAGGTAGAACACTTTCATTTTAAGAAGTCAGAAATAACAGTCATTCAGCTTATTTCGGTGGTTTAAAATAACCACTGGAAATGAGTCTTCACACCGAAGGAATTCGAAAGCAGATATTTACACCTTGTGTTTCTTTGTAACAGATGAATGCACTCAACCTCTTTTGATTTCCCTTTATCGTCCTTAACCTGTGGAATTAAGTAGTTAATTGACCAATCCAGTGCTTTATTGAGTTAATGTCAAATAAAAAGTTTATTTCCAGACGTTAGTCCTCATTTGATTCAGGGTTTAAGCTGATACAGCCAGAGACCTTATCACTGTGGTTTTGTTAAAAGCTAAATCTACCCTGCTCTGCTCTTTTCCGGCATTACTCATAGACAGACTTCATGACCTCCTGGCTGACAAAGTGGCTCCATTTCAGGCAGAGGGCTGTGTAACTGGCTCACCTTGGCATCGCTTGACATCTCTGTGCCAGGAGAGTCTGACAGCCGTGTCTGTCCTCCAGGGTTTACCCCTGAAACCCAATGACACCCTGGAGCCATTGCCACTGAAACAGAACGAAGCATCACTGTAGCTCAGGATAATTTGACTCGATGCAGACCCATGAGAGCATGTTGATACATCCTCACATCAATTCAACGGTTGAAAATAGCCATCCAGGAACATGCTGTAACTGTATTTGTTGTCACATTTTTGGAACTGCTGTCCCTGGAGTTGGTCCAGAAGTAGAAATTATCTCCAAAATGAAGCTGGTGAGGATATAAAGAGAGAGAGAGTTACTTGTTTCTTTCTTTTTCGTTGTTTCTTTATAGTTCATTACAGACCCAACTGCCGTAACATGTGCTTCAATGACTTTTAATGCAATCTAGTGTTTAGAAAGGAATGCTTTGTACCTTTACAATTGTGTTGCCTCTTCCTTCCGAGTTCAATAATCCTTCTCTGCCTCTTGCAATACTGGCGTTTTATTTGCCAGCAGCCCTAAGCAGCAGTTCCATTGAACATTTCACACTCTTTTATAGTCCCTAGGTGGCTTGTACATTAGATGTCATTGGCCCGTAAAAACTCACAAGGCTGTTCAAACAAAGTGTGCTACTTTTTAGACACAACTGTTTGCTTGGTAAACAGATGCTTTATTGTTGTGTAAAGAAGCAAGAGGTCACCATCAGACATCTCTGCAGGTTTCCTTTAAATTGGTGCATTAAAAAAAAAATCTAAATTTTGTATTGTAGTCTCGCCTTTTGTCTTTGAGCAAGAACCATATATCTCCATTCGGATCCATTGTGAATGAAAAAAGATAAGACAGACGAGAAAAAAAAAAAACGTCTACAGGCAGTTTGGGAGAACATATTTTGGATCTGTTGAATTAGAACCAAGCCGTCATCAATTACAGCGCCCCCTGGTGTTCTGTGGCAGTGTGGCAGCCAAACGCCTGGCTGGAAACAGCTTGGAACAGCAGGGAGTGAGTGAGTTTGACAGCTGTGTCCATCAGTCATTTGGACAGGACAGACAGGCCTAGTACTGCTACCATTTTCGTTGGTCTCTTGAGCAACTCCCAAGACACCTAAACTCTCAGACCTTCACGTGATGCCCACAACTTCACTTCAACTGATGCCCACCACCAGATTTAGTGGTTTCCCATGCCATGTGCATTAGGATGCTACAATAGGGTGTAGGTATTGCTGCAAAATGCTAGATTTTGCCACCGAATCATCAATCTAATAGGTTCTTGCTTTCACGAAAAGGATAATTATCTACATTCAGAAGTATTCAAAGGAAGCAGGCTGTTTGACAGATATTGCAAAGAATACACATGGGTCAATTTAGCAAAGTTGTTTTGGCAGTGCTACTTATGACACTGCCGGATTTGTTCACCTAGACGTGTGCTCCTCCGTCACTATGGCACCTCATCTCTGCAGGCGACTGTCGTCCCCTGAAATGTCTCTCTTGTGGTCTGTCTGTAATAGAGACTTGCTTATCGACCTTGTCTTTACCTGTGCTGTGTCTCAAACAAGAGTTTGAAATAGAAACAGCCAGAATAGCTATGACTTGAAGTGATATTGGCAGTCCGCTCCCTGGATAATTGCTGGAATGCATCCTTTGATGAAGGTGTTGAGGTAAAGAGTCCTAGGGACATTGGACTTTGCCAAATTCACCTAGACCCTTATCCGCTGACTGAAATAACAAACTCTTAAAACATTACAACACTTGAAAGTCTCTTTCCCTCTCACAGGGCACCTTGGTTTCTTCACTGTCCTCTTCCGTATGCTTCCTCGCTGTTCTTTATCCTCAGTGGTCTAGAATTGTCGAAAAAATATTTCACTGTGTGGTAGCTCTTGGCTGATGGAAGTTGACAGCACAATGGACTTATCCAGAAGGGTGTGAAGGCTCCTGCCCTTTGCTATCGGACACATGGGTCTGGTCCACAAGAGACATCTGAAGGCCAGCAGTACAAGAACAACAGGCTAGAATTTTAGGGGGGAGGTAGGATCACCAGGGATTCAAGGCCCATGAAGAATCGGAATCAAGACCATGCAACGTTTTCCCCTTCAGTTCTGTGTATTGTTGTACAATGAAAATAAATCTAGTCCAAAACGAATACAAGGAAGAAATATACTATAAATATAACTGAAGCACATGTGCAGAAGCTTTCAAATCCGGTTGTCTAATCGTAATCATGCTTTCTTGTGTTTGCATCCTTTTCAGGCTTTCCCCTCAGACCGTCACTTCTGTTTTGCTGTTTGTGGGCAGTCCCTTGTGTTTTGGGTGAAGGTGCGGAGACTGTCCGTACCCCAGAGGCTGAGTGAACAACTCTGGAAGAGTCTCGATGCTAAACTGACGCCTGTTGGAGAAGGCCTGGCGCCGACTGTTTGGTTGGGACAGTGGTGGCTGTGGCTGCATCATGAAAGGGACCTGGTGTTGGACATGGCTCTTGTTGGGGTCCCAAACTTTGAAGGCTGAGCTCGAGGTGAGTGGGTGGGTGTTAGTCTTGGAGATCTTGGACTTGGGGACTTGAGCTGATGTAATGGTAATGGCCAAAGGAGCTTGGATGTCCGGAGGGGGAAGAAAGTGTTTATCTTTTAGGTGGAAAGCAATGGGCTGGAAGGTTGCTGGCGAGGATTGGCGGTGTGCGTAATCCATCATAGGGTAGCTCTTGGGGTAGTAATCCCTTGCTGTAGTATCTGCAGTGAAAAAAAGGGCAGTGAAAAACGAACATTTAGAAATATAGAGGCTAAAATACAACATGACATTGTGACAAATATGCAATAGATTAATTTAATAGTGTTGCTTCTACACTCACATAACCTACAGTATGTGGTGTACAAACCTAATGTATTTCTCTCAGACTATAGTTGCTTTATTTTTTGTGTTTAGAGGATCTTATGAGTAAAACACCTGGAGCGGAGGGTCATCGAGTGCGACATGAGGATGCCCTCGGCTCTTTTTTACGTCACGCCACACACATGCATGCATGCACGTACATACATTGACTTGAGGGAGCTGTGGCTGTTCACAATATGGTCATGATGAAATATGAAGGCCAGACTCTGTTTGAAAGGATCAATGCAAGAAATGTCCAGTGAAGAGGTGATAAGTTGAAAGGAGACCGTAGAATGGTTTGCAGTTTGATCTGGTTGTTTGTATGGTTAAAATATGTTATATTGAAACTTTGAGGTACAAGGACAATCTACCAGGCAGTTTCTAGAATGTTTTTAAAACGTTGTACTGCAGCATTACCCAACTGCAACCAAAAGGCAATACTTTAAAATGTTTTATACTTGCTGGGAGCAACGATCCATAGTTTTACCTGGTGTTTACTATGGTGGTCTCACTACATAAACTGCAATTATAATTGCAGGTAGTGTTGTTTTTGGCGGCCTGTTTTAATTTTAGTTTTAGTCTAGTCTTTGTGTGAAGCTGTCGTTTTAGTTTTATTAGTTTTAGTCACGTTCATACTCTTTTTAGTCTAGTCAAGTTTTAGTCAACTAAAAGTCTGAGCATTTTAGTCTTATTTTAGTCAGAATTACCCATGACTATTTTCGTCTAGTTTTAGTCGACGAAAACTGATGACATTTTAGTCTAGTCGAGCGAGCGAGAGAGAGAGAGCGCGAGAGAGCGAGAGCGCGAGAGAGCGAGAGCGCGAGAGAGCGAGAGCGAGAGAGAGCGAGAGAGCGCGAGAGAGCGAGAGAGAGAGAGAGAGGGGGGGTCACATCACAAACACATACCAGCTTCATCACTG